ATAAAGGTAAATTGTAATAAGTAAATTAAAGAAACATAGAAGTAAGTAGGTTAGTGCATGAAATTCTGCAACCCCTAAAGTAAGTATAAGTTTAGATTCACATCAAATTCTGTGAGCTATAATTATTGAGTAATTGTGTAATTATTTAATCAAACAATTCCTGAAAGAATACATAAAACCCAAAAAGAAATATTTTATATATTTCGGAAATACGGAACATCGCAAACAATTCAGCAACATGGTAATTAGGCTTTTTAAAGGTGTATCAATTCAATTTTATGAGTGTACGGAAAGAATCGTTTTTATTGACGATGAAAATGAACAGAACGCCGTTATTCTGAAATTTCATCTCGGAAAAACCTGTCACAGAGGTATTCAAGAAACTTTTACTCGCATCAGGCGACACTTCTTTTGGAATAATATGAAAGAAACTGTATCAGCAGTAATTAATTCTTGTGAAGCCTGTAAACATATGAAATATGACCGAAAGCCTTTGAAACCATATTTACAGTTAACTCAAAAGCAACATGCCCCATTCCAGGAATTATTTATAGATATATTTAGTATCGAAGGAAAAACATACCTCACCTTAGTTTACGCTTTTAGCAAACTAAGACAGGCAATTGAAATTACTATCAAAGGCACACTTGACGTTATCCGCGCACTAATAAAATACTTTTCATTTTACGGCATACCTAAGAAAATAAGCTGCGACTCTGGTACTGAATTCAACAACGATCTATTGAAAGAAATGATGTCACTCTATAAAATCCAAAAACATATCGACACACCTAGGAACCCTAATTCAATGGGAATAGTTAAACGTTTTCATTCCACCTTAATTGAAATTTACAGACTGACAAAATACGAACAACAATGTACCGACGCCGCATCTATTATATCACTCATCATGGCATATAATAATGCGATTCATACTGTAACAACTTTAACACCGTTTGAAGTAGTTTTTGGCCATGTAGATTCTGAAAACGCATTCAATATAGACTTCGAGAAACGATACTTGCAAAAATTAATTAAAGATCACGCCAAAAGAATAAAAGTTTTATACAAAATCATATCTGATAAAATATTAACGTTTAAGGAAAACTCTAGAGAAAAACGCGGTGGCGAATCCGACGTCCCGTTACCAGGGAAAACAATTTTCACAAAATTAATAAACACTCGTAGAAGTAAGTACAAACCTTGTTTTGAAAAGGCCATAGTTACAGGAAAACCTGAAAGAAACACCATCCCTATTAACATTAGAGGTAAACACAAAAAGGTACCAATTAAAAACATAAAACGACCTCCAAAGGTGGTGCTTAGTGATCACGATGACACTCACGAGCCCCAGCTTGGGCCTTCAACTTCAAAAGGTTGAAAACAATTCAGGGATCCGTAAGACAGGGAACATCCTTCATCAAACAGGATAACTGGCTTATTTTTAAGGTATTAGATTTGAATGGCCTACTAATGGAATTAGAATATAACAATAGGAAATATAGTAATTTTAGTAAGATAGTAAGTGATGATAAGCCTTAGTTTAAAGAATTTTTAGGAATTAGGGAACAAGTAGAGTATTTGCAAAGAATAACTACTGAAAAGATTAGGCAAATAATCCCTTCACACCGAGTACGAAGAGGAATATTGAACCCTCTAGGCTCTATTATTAAAATGATAACTGGAAACTTAGATCAGGAAGATGCTCAACGATATGAACAGTTAATAAATCAATTAGGTAATCAACAAAATTTCCACAAACAAGCGTTTAACAGTTGTTTTCAAAATGTTAGATGGACTCATTAATTCATCAGAAATATTACACAATAACTCAAAAATTATGGACGAAAGACTAAAACGTGTAAAAAAAAAATGTTAAAAGACATAAGTACTAAAGAAAATAATGCAGTATACTCTACATATGTTTTAAGTTTATATAATCTTTTTGTTAGTAATTTTAGAACGCTTTATATAAAAAATAAGCGAATTAGAAATTGCTTTGGCTTTCACCAAAACCAATGTTTTACACATTTATTACAGATTTTAATTTATATATCACAGTCAGAAAATCTTATGTATCCACCCACTTGGGATAATTTAGTTAAATTAGAAGATACGATTAATGTTAAATCATACATGATAGACAGGAAAATAACTTTTGTATTAGAGGTAGCTTTAATAACCAATTCAACTTATAGTAATAAAATGTATCCCTTACCTATCTTTCATGACCCTAAAAACCTAACCCTAATATCCCTATATCCTGGTGAAAGGTGTAACATACTTACCGCTTATACAGCCTTGCAAACAAGTCTCTGAGGAAAATTATCTCTGCACACAAGAAAACAGGGGCACCGTATCCTGAAACGACATGCATTGAGGAGCTGATGACCTTCAAGGAAAACCCATCCAACTGTGACCAGAATACAGTAATTATAGAAGAGGTAAAGGTACAATAATAGTAATCAAATCATTATTCAAATAATTGCAAAAATGAGATAAGCCGAAACTCTATAAAGGGAACATAATATATCATTACTATAGATTAACCCTGCGATCTCAACATCAATGACATCCAATTACATCATCAGCGTTCATATACAGAAAATATGTCATCAGAACGTATCCCATCCATTAAGCTGCTGGAGTTACAGTCAACAGTGAACTCTAAGGAAAATCAGAATCCAGTAAACTTACAAGGAATGGAGCTCAGTGACCGGTAACACATGTCTTACATGCTGTAACAACTTAACAGAGATAGTGATAGTGAAATGGGCAATTCAGTGAAAGTGAAAAGCATTAGTTTAGGCACTCTTTTATTGTATTTTGCTAATTGTTGTGTTTTTTATAAAAAATAAGATTAGTAATATGTTGCAGTGGCGAAATAATCAGAATTTGCATGTGCAATCCCCTGATAATTTCGCTCTTAAGGAGGGAGGAGTTATATAACCTCGTGTGTCACCACCATAATTATATTTTATATAAACAAAACCATTGCAACATAGTAGTACAAAGATCCTTTATATTTCAATAGCCGAAGTGCTGTTACATGATTTACGAACCACTCTTACACGATTTATGAACCACTCTTAGTTCTTATTAAGTAACGTTTCCTTGTAGAGCGTGAGAACAATGTGTCAGCACAACGGTCACGTAGGCCTGTAAGAATAGGATATAAATATAATAGAACGCTTGTAATATACAGTATTAAACGGACCTCAAATCGGACCGGTTGTATTCATTTTAACTTTAAGTTTTTAAAAAACCCTTATTTCGCGGACCCACTACTTGACTAGGTACTTCCCTATACGCTTTCTCACTTAAGACTTCTTTTGTCTCATTCTTGTGAAATCGTCTTCATAGGGTTTTACACTATGTGGAACCAGCTGCCCACTGATTTATTTTCGAACCAATTGGACTTATTGGACACTAAAAAGAACCAATTTTTAAAAGGCTGGCAACGCACTGGCGACCCCTCTGGCAATGTGTTTATTTAACATCAGGTGAGGCGCTTGCTAGTTTGCCTCGTTATAAAAAAAAATTGGCAAAATAAGAAGGACGTGAGAACAATATGCATATTGCTTGCAATTACTTTGCATCCATGCTAAATAAAAAAAAACAAAAATCTGCATAAAAAATTGTTCAGTAGGCTAAAGCATTACGGGAAACTTGACCTACGTGTAATACAATTTTTTTTCGAGGATAAGCATTGCATTATTGATTTATTTTTCAGAAATATGATGATATAAAGAGTTCTTGCTAGAAAAGAGTCGGGTGAGGAATAGTCAATAACTAGGAACTAATCAGAAAGATAATACAAAACAATTTTCTGCTTCATAAGAAAATGTAAACATAAGACGAAACAACGGAACGCGAAGTATATAACAACAAAAGACGAAACGCGTTTTATTTGTTTGCGATTGGTCAACAGCATTTAGTCTAACATGTGGTTGTCAGCGAATATTTTTTCGGAATTGCATTAGGTGCCCATGTGCATGGGCACCTAATGCAATGTGATGACCCGGTGAACTTCATATCACCTAGATATTATTTTTGTCAGAACTTAATCATGATATATGACATGATATTTATTTTTAATTTAGACGGCTCATTGGTCTAGTGGTTAGTACCCCTGACTGCGAATTCCCGGGTTTGATCCCCGGCTGAGACAAACATCGATGTGATGAGCATTTGTTGTTGTCTTGGGTGTTTAAATATGTATTTATATGTATATATATCTATAATATATGTATATCCGTTGCCTAGTAGTTAGTACCCATAACACAAGCTTCACCAGCTTAGCATGGGACTAGGTCAATTGGTGTGAATTGTCCAAGCATAAAAATAAATAAATAAATATCGTTTATTAAAACCTAAACTAAGAAAATTGATTGTTATGTTTAAGTTTAATGAAAGTTATAATTCAGAACTTAATACAAAATTTTTAAAACAGACCAAAGACATCGTATTCATATTATTATGAGGTCCGATCTTTTTATATTATGAAATACAAATATCTGAATATACGACAACCAAGTGACAATTTTTATTTCTCAAAAAACAAAAGACAACAATCATTTTGTAGGAATAGTTTGTATTGTAAAATTAAATGGTCGTTAAAAGTATTTTTCTTTACCCTAACCAAATCAAACCTTCTCTGAATTTCCACATATATGTCAAGATCAGCCAAATCGGTCCAGAAATTCTCGAGGTTTAGCAAGACAAACGAACAGCAATTCCTTTATACTAAATTAGACACAGTTCTATAATAAAAAAAAACATCTGCTAAAATATAAATAAACATAATATAAAATTTGCTTATGCGTACAGTATGTTCACGAAATTCAATTTAACCCGTCGATTGACACAAGTCTTGTAATATCCGCACAGATGGAATGCAATTACGCGAATAAGCGTTTACCCAATATTGGGTATATTTTGTATTGATATTGTAGGAAATGAAAACATATACATGTTCGAGCTAGTCTGCCTTTACTGATATGACGCTGCCCTCACCGCGCTGTCCTCTGTTTATCAGGTCAATGTCAAAATACATGTACCGTACCTGCAAAACATAATTAAAATGACTTTACATTTATAGATACTGTCAGTTATCTAATCCAGGGTGTAGAAGAGACGAGAAGAACTAACAGAAACCTCTCCGTCTCTATTTCCGTAGAGTTTCCGTTGTGTTAATGAATGGCAATATAAAATGATAAAATATATTGATCCTAAGGGTGCGTCCACATCTGGCGAATATGCCGCGAATGTGCGCAGCAGTTTGCGAGTTGCGCGCGCACATTTTTGTTCGTGCGCCGCTTCTGCTCCGTCTGCACGCAGTTCGCTCGCAACCTAAGCGCCGTACGCGATCAGCGCGCGGGCGGCGAGCTAGCGGCTCGCGTCTTCCTTCCGCCCACGCCTCAAGCCCTGCATCCCTAACTTACCCGCTCCGTTCGTTTCTGATTACTGGAGGTTCAGTTCGTGTTCAAATTCAAATTCAAATTCAAAAATCATTTATTCACGTAGGTAACACAATGTACACTTGTGATTCGTCATTAAAGAAATAAATATTCATGCTTCTAATTTTACATTTACTGCCAGTTCTCAAATCAAGGGCGTAGAACGGAAGAGAAGAACTGGCAATAAACTCTCCGCCACTCTTTTTAATCGCCATGTTTTTTTTTTTTACACAACGTTTGTAAGGAGCTGCAACCATTACACCATGTTCCACATGACATTTTAAGTAATTAATAATAATAACATAAATAAAAACAAAGACTTGTCCCCTATCAGCAGGAGGCATGGTGAAATAGGAGCACGCACTTACATTCTCGTGGGAACAACACGCAAACACATAGTCGAGATAATTAACATCACCGCATACACGAATTCAAGTACGACCAGTCACCACAAGTAGCACCCGTTCACGAGTATGACGCATTTCCAGCCATCGGCCCCCTCGCCATATTTTAGGGAGAGAGACAACCCGACGCATGGACGCCGCCACAAGCAATGACATTTAAGCGAGCATGACGATCCTTGAAATGTGGACTTGGCTACATAAGAAAATAATAATAATACTGAAATAATTGGATACTACATGGATCACGGTTTGTTCCCACTTTACATTAAAACAGTCGTGGATGTTGACGATCGCCCCAGAGTCTGGAAAGGCAGCCGAGAGATTCAGTCGTGTTACCTATAATATATACTGGAGCAACTCATATCCAAGCACTAGGATCGTTTAAATATTCATTTATATTATAATAAGCCTTAGCAAGCACTTTTACTTTAATGTACGATTTAAATTTATTTATTGACAACGCTTGTATCTCACTAGGGATTTTGTTGAAAAAACGTATACAATTGCCTTGGAAAGAATTACTCGTTTTATGCAGCCTTCTGGTTGGTGCGCTAATTTTGTCTTTATTACGAGTACTATAATTATGGAAGCTACTATTCTTTTTAAAGATATCTATATTTTTCCGCACATACAAAATATTCTCATAATGTATTGACTTGCCAGAGTCAAAATATGTAATTCCTTAAATTTGCTTCGGACCGACTCCCGTGGGGACGACCCACAGATCGCTCTTATAGCCCGCTTTTGCACTACAAATATCGATTTAATGTCAGCTGCATTACCCCACAAAATAACACCATATGACATAATACTATGAAAATAGCTGAAATAAACAAGCTTTGCTGTGTTCTCATCCGTAAGATCGCGTATCTTTTTTACTGCGAACGCTGCGGAACTTAGCCTATTCGAAAGACCTTCTATGTGTCGGCCCCACTGGAGTTTACTATCTAAAGTAATTCCCAAGAACACCGGATTATCAACAAAGTCTATTTCCTCGTCTTTAATTATTATTTGAGAATGACTACTTTTTACATTTGTAGTAACAAATTTAACACATTTTGTCTTCTTTTCGTTTAACTTAAGATTATTTGTATTAAACCAGTGAACCACACTGGAGATGGCACTGTTTACGTTATCAAGTGATGGATTTTGTCGTTTCACTTTAAATAAAAGCGAAGTGTCATCAGCAAACAGTACTATCTCGTGAAGCTCCTTTACAAGAAATGGCAGGTCATTTATATAGACGAGGAATAAGAAGGGACCAAGTATGGAGCCTTGCGGTACTCCCATAGTAACAGAGGATCCCTGTGATATAGCTCCATTTACATTTACCTTTTGAATTCTATCGCTCAGGTATGATTCCACAAGATTTAGCGCTTTTTCGCCAATGCCATAGTGTTGAAGTTTCTTGATTAGGATTTCGTGATGGACACAGTCAAAAGCCTTTGATAAGTCGCAAAAAACTCCAATGGCATCATGAGAATTTTCCCAAGCATTTAAAATCTCGGAAATTAATTGAATGCCAGCATCTGCTGTGGAGCGACCTCTTGTAAAACCATACTGCTGGCTATGCATAATTTTATTATTATTAAAATGTATCAATAATTGTTCCAGAATGATTTTTTCAAAGATTTTACTCAAAGCCGGCAGCACAGATATGGGTCTAAAATTTGTGGGGTCCGAAGTGCTGCCCGTTTTGAATAACGGTGTGATTTTACTTATCTTCATCTGGTCTGGAAAGACTCCACAATCTATACATTCATTAAATATTATAGCCAACTCTGAACTGATAGTATTGATTACTGATTGTAAAATGAAAACAGATACACCCCAAAGATCTTTAGTTTTTTTTTTAGCTGTTTAAATGTTTTTATAATGTCATTGCAGCTAATGCGGCTAAATACAAACTTATGATTGCATACAGGAACATTATTTTTCAATAATAAAAGGGCGGCTGATGGTGAAGAATTTAAAACGCTGGTTGTATTTAAAGGAATGTTAGTAAAAAACTCTTCAAATGCAGAGGCTACTTCGAGGTCGGAACTAATTACTTTGCCGTTTATGTTCACTTTAAATTCAGTATCCTTTCTGGAGGTTCTTCCAGTCTCCTCGTTTATAATTTTCCAAGTAGCCTTTATCTTATCAGAGCTGTTGTTTATTCTAAGACTTAAGTGTTTCGCCTTAGCGATTCTACACTCTTGCCTAAAACTTTTTGAGAATATCCTAACATAAGTTTTAAATTCTTCACTGTCATTATACTGTTTTTCATCATACAACTCATACAATTTTACCCTTTTTTTGTGTAGCTCCGGAGTTGCCCAGTCACAAAAGGTAGGTTTCTCCGAGACCAAAAAAGTCTTTCGAGTGAACACATTTTTGAATTCACCAATAAATGAATCAAAGAATGTGCTATATAAATTATTAGGGCATTGGTTACTACGCAAAAATGGCATTTTAAATATCAAATTTTTCCTAAATCTGTCTAACCGATCCTCTGTTATAGGAATTGTGCATATTTTCTTTTCTTTGTTGTCATGGAGTGGACGGAGGAGAATTGTTTACGCTTAATTGAAACATATAAAAGATTTCCAGTTTTGTGGGATACTAAAGATCAATATTAAAATAGAAAAAATCTAAAAAAATTATAGGATTTTGCCTCCAACGCCGATGTCTTTCTTTTTCCTTTATATCAGTAATATAATAGCTAATGATGCAGCAATTATATTAAAAGCAGTAGTGTCGTCCAACATCTTCGACTTCGAAAGGAACTGTAAGCGCGAGAATTGAATGCGCGCTGATCGCGCACCGCGCGCACGCCTTGTACGAGCCTTGCATGAGTCTGCTTTTAACAACTAGGCAAAATCAGTTAGAAAATTAAATAATATCTTTTCTAATATAGTCTCAAAACGTTTCAGGAGGAGCGTCGGCGTACTGGGCGATATATAGCAATATTGGTCGGCATATGTCTTCTTCTCCTTGCCATATACCACGCCTGGGTGCGACGGATTCCCGTAGTAGCCAGTCTGGTCGTGCCTGCTCTTATTATGTTTGTTTATGTGGGATGGGTTTTGTTCACTGCATCGAGGGATAAGAAACGAGTAAGTAATCAACAATTTTATATATATATTACGACTGGTAATATTTTTTTAAACTTCAGAGGGTATTTCATTCGAAGTATAGTGAGTAGTAAAGTACCATAGTAAAATATATATGTTCCCTGGTACATTGTGATTGAATGGTTGAGAAATGAGAAACAAAAAAAGAAAACATTTTATATAAATTTAATTTTGCAATACTTGTGGGAAACAATGAGAAAAAAAATAGATGAAAACAGTCCTTGATGCGGATTATATATCATGGTTAAATTTCAGTTTTTGAAGCGTACACAAGCCAACATAACATATTTTTATATATTGTTACTTTTTCTACAACTGGTTTCATGAGCTTGTTAAATAATTAATAAAATTAAAAATACAACTAAATAATGAGTGTTCACCTTATGCCTCGTCTAGTCGTGGTACAAGTACGATGGGATACTATGGGTAATAATAATAATTATTTATTTATTCAAGTAGTCAATCTTAAGTACATTTATTGTGTTATTCAAAATAATATATATTCAATTCAATTTCAAAAATTCTTTATTTCGTTACACAAAAATTTATAGTAGTACATCCAGCGTACATTATTTCCTATAATGTAACAAGTTTATAAAACTAAACATGTTTTTAAAGCCGTTTTACTTTTTTTTAAACTTATAAAACAGATAAAACTAAAGTTGTAATGTTTCGAAGGGTTAACTAAATTTTACTATGAGGTAAACTACCTGGAAACTATGCAATCTTTAGATTAGATTTGCATTTTTGACATACCTAGATTGAAGATACATAACAGCATGAGGGCCAATATTTAGAATTAAAAGAAACTAAATGGTAGTTATGACTAAAAATAAATGGGGTAGCACCGATAACAAAAGAGTGGACGGCAAGCAATCCCAAGCTAAGGCTTGCGCGAGCATCGGTCACGCGGCGCACGCGCATTCCAGCTCTATATCCCTAGGAATAAGACCGCAGGTCGCGAGCGACGCGATAACCAACACTCGTAAATTAGTAAGTAGCTTTAAAGTATATTCAAATGAAAACTCAGACGAAACATACAAATGACATAACGCCCGTGAAAAATAAAAATATGTGCTTAAAGGAAATCCACTGAATTACTAAAACTTTAAAAATTTAAAAATATCTACTAAATTTTAGGTTTATGTCAGAAAGCAGAGATAAAATTCTGCATGTAGGTCGTAAAAGGTAACGGTTTCATCAAACTTTAGCACGCTTTTTGGAAAACTTCGTAAAATATAACTAACTTGGTTTAGTTAATAGTAATACAGAAAAAAATGCTGCGAAGTCTTATTATTATATAGGAATAAGAAAAAATCCAGTCGCAACCCCTTAAAAAGGTGTTGATTTCAAATGCATCTGTTTCTTATTTATAGAGAAGAAGGTTATACGTGGTAAAAAGCATCCAAAGTGTCAGGGTGGTATTTATTATTACAAGTTAGATAAGCTCACAAATATCAATTACATAGATCTGTGTCAGACATTGATTAGTAACGTCATCGAAGAGTAATCGAATTGAGGCTCGAGTCGATTCAAATTAAGTTAACCTGCAGAGGCTCTACTTCTCTGGTCTCTTTAGGGAAATACGATATTTTGTTTAGAAATAACAATAAAATATCAACAATGGTGATATTTGAAGAACGCACGAACGTAAGAACCTTCAATCGTCAAAATTCAATGCGTATTTGACTACTGTACCTGATAAATCAATTTTTAGGCCATGCCGGTCTCTTGACGTAGTTTTCCTTCAGCGTGCCAGTTAATTGAACATAGAAGTCAATGACGTCCAGCCGCAAATCCAAGGCATGGCGATGGTTGAGGGTTGTACGTTCAACTTACTTTATATAATTGTAGTTACGTGGCACTCGTGACCTCATGTGCTGTGCATGCCCTCTTAAGGCCCTATCCCAGCATGAATTACTATGTCAGTATCTCGGGGTGGAATGCGGTGCGCAGTGGAGAGCTGGAGCACTGAGGCACGCCGGCCCGTAATAACAATAAGTTATGTAAATCATTAAATTAATGTAATTTTATAATTTTTTTTCTGAAATGGATTAATTGGCATGCGATAAAATATATCGTGTAAATTTCAAAATCATGTTCTATATACAATTTCGTCATAAAATGACTTCAAAGTGTCAAAAATTGGCTATGTTTGGATTTTTTTTCTATCGAGCGAAATCGTATATCGATCTTTCAAAATGGTTACATAAACTACTCAACTCCACCATATATTGTTTCTTTTCGCCCTACTTCAAGAAACAATGACGAAAAATGGAAAGAAACAATGTACTTTTTTGGAGTTTGGCGACCGGATAGGTCCTTATACCCCACGGCCGAGGCGCCACCAGCAATCGCCGTAATCACCGCAGCTTGTCCACATCCCGTCACGCAATCAACCGTTGAAATCACGGCCCCAACGGGCATGAATGATGTGGGTTAGACCTTGGAACAGCAAGTCTATACTCACATGGGCCTATTCACACTGATTTGAACAGAAAGGGGAGGTCGTGTACAATGTATGCAAGGATCCCTTTTTTGTACGCATGAACTCCTGTGACCCCACTGAAGCGTCTGCTTACCCAGTATTCGTACGTTTAACCCACTATGCCAAAACTGCTTTCTTTAGTAAAGGTTTATGTAAATGACAGCGATTATAACTCACATGTGTCATCTCAAAATCTAATCCATTTTTTGACATTCAAGTCACAAGTACATATGTACAAAAACATTCATTATTGTCCCACTAAATGCAATTCATAACTCAGTGTTAATAAACAAATCCCTCCAATAAAGTATAGCGGCAATAGAATGTTTGCAATTTCGAAGAAAAACTCGTAGTGTTGAAATGTTTTTACAATATATAACATTTATTTAAAGTAAATGTCAGAGTTCTCCCAAGCTGTCAATGTTATATGTACTTAGAGCAACTTTATTAACAACAGTATTGCAAATACTTTTTTAAAAGTTTACTAGTAGAATGATTCCTTCATAGTAAGAGAACACATAAGAGTTCAATCTTAATGTAAAATTTAAATGAACGAATAAGAAATATCTGAATATTTTCATATATTCATTAACAAATTAATGTTTATTTATATTGCTGCAATTATGATGATGAACCTGATGTTGAGTGTCCGCCGCCCATGGACACTCACATTTCCAGAAGGCTCGTAAGTGCGTTGCCGGCCTTTCAGGAATTGGTACGCTCTCTTCTTGAAGGACCCTAAGTCGAATTGGTTTAGAAATGCTTCAGTGGGCAGCTGGTTCCACATACTGGAGATGCGCGTCAAAAACTGCCTTAAAAACGCTTAGTTGTGGAAAGACGGACGTCGAAGTGATATTAAGACTGACGGAAAGTATCGCGAGGAAGCAAGCATATGAGGCCCATGAACAGATCCTTCAAGTTACAATCTATGCTTGAGCATTATCAACTAGATTAGATTTAAATCGATGAGTATTCACCAGAAAACTAGTCCAATGAATAATGATGAAATCTCTATTATTACCAACATGGACGCCCTTACCCACTTCCTTGATAAGTGTCAAAGTCAAGATTAACGGTTCAAGATATAAACTATAAAATAACATCTGACTCATACCGTCTGCACGTAAACATCTGTTCATCCAAAAATCGATAGACTACTTTAAAAGAATGTTTACACATGTAAATGAATGTTAAAGTGTGGAATGGAAACATCGCGTAATCGTGGTAACATTAGCGCCCACGTTGGTGCACCGTATGTCATCAATAATATTGTTCCGAGAGCAGATGTATATGATTTTACGTTAAAAAAAATAAAAAAATTGAATGGTAGAGAGTTTTGGAGAAGCGTTGAATAATAATAATTAAAGAAAAAACTTTTTAACCGGATTAAAGTTACCTATGTATTATTATAAATTTACAATTATTTAACATAATTTTAAATTTATCCGACGTTTCGCGTGCTTTACAACGTGCGTGGTCACGGTCAATAAAAGACAATACTACTATCATATGACTATCATTTTTCATGCGATTTTTGTAGAAAAACAAAGTTCAATAAAATATTTAAATAATATTAATATTATTAAAAACATAAAATTACAAACAATAAAATAAAGCATAAAAATAACTTGTGTTTAATAATTAAGTTGTGAGTAATTTTCGTTCGTTCTTCAGTTCAAAGTAAATAATGTTATTATAAATAAAACAATATCTTAATATATGGCAATAAAAACGCTGTTAATACATCTACCAGCAAATTGGTTGATAAAATAGATACACGTGTCTTACAAGAGTAAAGTTTAAATGTATAAAGTGTAATTTCTGTGAAAGTTGCGTTTGAAAGTACGGAAAGCTCACGAGCGAACTTGATACCATCCTAAGACAAACTTTGCTGAAGCTGTAACGAGAATTGAAATTATGGATACTATTATATCAAGAAACAGTTTATTTTGTAGCATTTTTGGTTAATATTAATGACTATTTTTTAATTTAGAGTAATGATTACATTGTCTAATACCTCCAGCAGCTGAGTTTCATTATCGGACGTCAAGGCAAAATACGAAATACTATCCGTATCATCTTGACGTCCGTCATTCCACAACTAAGCGTTTTCTAAGGCAGTTTTTGCCGCGCACCACCACTATGTGGAACCAGATGCCCACCAAAGTATTTCCGAACAAATTCAACTTAGGGTCTGCAACTTAGCCTTCTGGCAAAATGATGTCCACGGGCGGCGGTATCATTTAACACCAGATGAGCCTCCTATCCGTTTACCCCTATTACATAAAAAAAACATTGTCCATTATGAAGCATAAGCCATTTATAAAGAGTTTGTCACTTTAAGGTCTGATTACTAGTCGAAACAAATACTCACCGGTTGATTAAAAACGTAGCCTTTTATGGGGTAATCCGGTAGATGTGAATAAAGCTTTTATTACACAGAATAAATGTATAATGGCTATTATAGATGTTGGACCTCTTGTAGGCTGTAGACCTTTTTTACGAACTCGGTATTTTGACAGTACCAGGTTTATAATTCCTAGACGCAGTTATGACTGTAAAAAAGCATTATTAAATATTCAAAACATTTAAAGAAATATGCCTTTATTTACTAAGGGATCCAACACGACATTGGGCACATTTTTAAAACATCTTGGTGCAAGCAAAAAAAAATAGTTGCGCTGTGGCTATCAAAATATTTAATATCCTCCCCAGAAGTTATAGATCACTGCCATGTAATGCTTGCAAGGGGAAGGTGAATATATTTTTAAAAGCAAGGTGCCTTTATAATGTGTAAGAGAATTTAGACCTTAAGTTTTGACAACATTCAACAATTATAAATGAATTTACTGTTCTTATTAATATGACATGTTGCATGCCAGTTTTTTATACTTCATTACATTAAAATAAAAACAAATAACATAAATATTATAAGGGATGCAACCTTATCGCTAAGCGATCTCTTCCAGGCAATCTATAAAAGTGCATAACCTAATCAACATAAACATAATTACAAGTACACTAAATAATTATTAATTAATCTGAATGCTCATCACTTTCTTTGCAGATAAACGAATTATTATAATTATGCCGTAAGCTAAAAATAGCTAATTTCTATACTATACCTATATGTATACATATTACATAACGCCTGGGCATAGTCTAAAATATGAGTAAGAGATATGTTTAGTGTTTACATTCACCGACCTTTTGTTTACTTCATTAACCCGCAAGGTTAAGTTCAAAAACTCTAAAGCTAGTCTATTTTCATAAATCCGGCCGCAATTGAGATGTAAATTTGTCTATTCCGGTCTATTTTAAAGGCCGGCAACACACCCACTAAAATGGATGTCCACGGATTTTGATGACTGCCGTTTTTGAGCGTTAAGGGGGGCGGGGGGTATAAAAAATATTATTTCTTTCAACTTCATGATAACGGTACCCCGTGAAAAATTTAGAACCTAAAATTTTTATTATTTAATTATTTTATTTAAATTTGTATATTAAGTGTGTCAGGCACACAAAACACTTACGTGCCTATTAGGAAAACAAATTATCACGAAATAGATACAGAAATCTGAGGCCCAGACCTAAAACCTTGTAGTTGACTGGTTTTTTACTATACTTTCGGCACATTTTATTTTTTATACTGTGAAATAGCACTGTACGAATTTTGCATACGAAAATATCGCCGACAAATTAATTGAATGGACGATGTTGGTAAACAGACCGATACTCTGTAACCTAAATAACCTATGGGCTAAACTCGATAGCATGTAACTCAACCAGCGTTTAATTTGATTGGACTGTCAGCGCGTCGCTAAAACAATATCATCACATAAGCTGACAACTACATGAATATTTCACGTTGGCCAGTTTGAAGGAGGGATATTTTAAACACCAATTAGGTTCGGTCGCGGTTGTTGTATTGGATATGTGCAAATAAAACACTTTGTTTGAAGCTGGGTAACAACGGCGTTAATTTTTTAAAACATGAGCTTTTAACTAAGATTATATTAGTGGTAGTGGAGTTGCGGGTTGCTAAGGGTTCATAAAATATCTATATGACACTTAAGTTATTGGATACTATCGGACGAGAATGTTAAATTATAATTTATAAGTGTGGTAAGAACTACCCTTTAGTTCCTCATATTAGCTTCAAGTGAGCAATGATTGTTTACATTTTGTTTTGTTACATGAGTAACATATATATATGTATATGTAACTTAACTAATGTTAGGTTACATAACTCACGCCTGACATGACTTAAAATTAAGGACGCCAAAGAGCCAAAATCGAGTAAAAGATATTTGAATGCTTTCAACGCGTTGCGAATGGATCGCAAGTTATAGAATTTGAATGAGTCCAACAGAAGCCCTCTTATAAGCAATGCAAAGATTGATGATTTTTTCTTCTAGTTTCTTAGGATACAGTTACATCGTGAAAAGGCGAAATACATTGTAAAAATAATCACGCTTGCATACTAAAGGTGTGTCAATGTTTTGTTAAGTGACATTAATATACATGTAAAGCTTTCCGTTTAGTTTTAATTCACACTTAACAGATCGTTCGTTCGATAGGTCTTATTTTTTTTTTTATTTAGTTATTAAGTTTACGACATCACACACAGTACTTAAGCTACTAATTATTTTACAAAATCTTACATCTAAAATGTGTAACAATTAACGTAAACATAAGTTTAACAAAAAAAAAATAGAAATTTAAAATTTAAAAAATACAATTAAAACATATAATACAAGATAATACAAGCACACAACAAAATAGAATAAAATTATAGAATTTTGTTGGCACTTAAAGCAGAAAAAAAAGAAAAATCATCAGCAAAACAGCGAATTAGGTTCGAGAAAGGCACCCCACAATTCTTTCTCTAAAACCGATCAGCCCACTACCGAATATATCCAGCTCCGGATAAGCTGTGTTCAATCCGTTAAAATCGCGAATAATTCGAACGAGAGGTGCCTGAACTCCTAGGTTAGTTTTGGCAGAAGGAATTTGGAAATTTGTAATCAATGCATGTTATTAAAATTAGGACATATAAATTTTCCTTTCATTGATTTGATACTCAGCTTTTTATAAACAAAACATCCTTATTCTTAGATACATATACATACAGAGATAATTAAAAAGTAACTATGGCACGGTTATTGAAATTCAATATTGGCATGCCTCCAGTTGGTTGCGGTACAAATTAATTTTATTGTAACGAAACGAGGTTCCGCTGCAGGTGTCGTGAACTAAAGCGTTTAACTGCAGACGCGAATTAACAATTCCATTTTCCACTCGTTTTCCCTCACAATTTCAATGTCTGAAGCAAGTTATTTCTTCATTAATCTTTAAGTTACTTAGGCGTGTCGGTGCGAGTAGAAATGTAATAAATTAAAAGTCATATTAAATGTAAGCCGTCCGTTACATTTGCATGGAATTAGAATAAAGAATGAGTTTATTAATAATGTTTAATGAAGTTTAGTTTAATATTTGTTAGCAAATAGTAATAATAATAGGCTATTATTACAATTTATGAACATTAATATCTGGGTACGCCAAGGCTGTACATTTTGCTCACTCAGCCTGAGTGAGTTCTTAGTTTTATAACAATCTGTGTCCCCTTTTTTGCCAAAAACTCCTCCGAATCACGCCGCACTGTGCCATTCTATGCCATGTACCACCTGCTGATTCCTTAATATGATCTATAATAGAATAAAATATATGTAAATAGTAAATAAGTGTTAAAACATTGATAAAGTAACTCAAAGAACATATGTCGTACTTCATCATACATACTGTATGCTCATAAATATATTAAAAAACAAAAGCAGCGAGGATAGGTAACAATATTTTTATTTCCGTATTATTATTAAAAAGGGTTTATGTAATATATGTCGCATAGCCCCGAGGTTTTGGGTTTAACGTATTTTTTTTGGATTGGTACACTGTATGTGTAAAAACGAAAGCATTAAAGTTAGACACACTCATAGTGCAAGGTTCAGTAGTGAAAAAACCTAATCAAAAACATAATATGAACCCGGTATTATCACGAGTATTAAACAGAATTGATATCTCAATAGGTGCCAAGTTTTATTAACAAACTGTCGATAACTCCAATTCCAGAAATTTTGAACGGGGTTTAATAAATAAACCAATTTTCACGCGTTTACATTTTGAGTTAAATTTTGCTTCCGAATTGTAAAATCGAGGATTCACGTTTTAACGTTTCTCAGAAACTTCCGCCATTAGGTTTATTACAAACTATTTAGCTGTAGGAGAAACAGCTCCTTTGTTCTGGAAATAGATGTTAATTTGGAAGCGTGAGAATTCCTCAATCCATACCATAAAACCAGTGGCGCTGCAACCCTTGGTCTTTGCCTCACGATTTTGTGATATTTTAAATTATATAGGTTTTCTGTGCATGACACTCGCCATCGATTTTAACGTCTAAGATATTCCTTACGATGTGTGATAATAAATAATGTCCATAAACAGCCAACAGAGTAGAGAGTCGCACGCCATTAGACCGACATCGTAGGAGCAGGTTTCCGTAATCATCAATTATTTAAAAAAAAGTATTTATTACAGTATTTAACTAAAGTAAATTAATAACCTAGAGCAGTGTTGGCCTAGTGGCTTTAGAGTGCGTCTCTCATTCCTGCGGTCGTAGGTTCGATCCCCAGCTGTGCACCAATGGACTTTCTTTCTATATGCGCATTTAACATTTGCTCGAACGGTGAAGGAAAACATCGTGAGGAGACCGAAATGTCTTAGACCTAAAAAGTCGACGGAGTCAGGCACTGGAGGCTGATCACCTACTTGCCTATTAGATTTAAAAATGAGGTTGTAGCGCCACTGATTTTTTTTAAATTCATTAACACTATAAAGTCAATCCGTTGTGTTTTCCGAGACCAAAAGCTTAAAATTTAATTGTTAAATCTGATTAGATCAATCCTAGAGTAGACAATCTTTCAATCTCCCTTCCAATGTCTCTTCACTGAGACATCATGGAACATCTAGCCTAACTTAAGACTAATAAGTAATTTAAGTCTAACCTAATTTACTAATAAGGATATTAAACATAAGAAAGTGTCCAATAACAGATCTCTTATTAGAGATTCTATTAAGGTGAAGACATTCAGTTTTTGTGTTCTATTTTTTCACTTACTAATGTTTATCACCGAAGACTAACGTGCACTAACACTAATACGCTAGTTCAAATGCGTTAAACGGCTCGATTAATTTCAACAAATCGTTGTATTTAGCCCATGTATAAAACATTGATAAAATATATGCCTAAATTTTCATTATTAAGCCCTCTATCTATTAGTGTGTTTGGTAGTTGGATAAACTTACCACAAAGTGTACTCCGACTTATACTGAAAAATAATTTAAGATTTTTATTCTAAATTTTGTCTTTTCAGTTACTTCTGTTAGACGCGGAGGCAGCACTGAGAGCAGCTGAAGAAGAAAACTGTTCAAATACATCTCATATGGAAATATCAGTTATATGCAAAGAAATTCCTTGTACAAAGGCAGAGGTAACATCCAAAGATGATAATCTAAGAGTTGAACGAAAATTCGTTAAGCCAATCATTCTAGTTAACGATAGACCCGCAGAAGATCTAGATGAAAAGTGGACACATGTGATAGATACATTATTTAATGAAGACGAAAGGTTAAGAAGGTACCAGAAGAGAAGGAAATTCAGACGGAGATTCTGTAGACGAAGACAGTACGCAGTTTTCAAGAGATCGTATTCAATTGGTTGATACAGCTTTAGTATAGTTAGAAAATTTGTCAAAAACTTATTAAACAGGATCAAACAAACAAAACATTTATTCCCTAGACATAACTATGATAACAGAAATAGGAGTATGAACACGAAGTTTGCAGGAGAGATTTCCTCAGCTGTTGCACCATCATCATCAAATGGTGATGATGAGTGTCGGCTTACAGCAGCCCTGGGCAAACATTAAAAAATCAGTTATAATATTAGAAAAAGGAAATACATAGGGTGAAACAGTACTTAAAACTATGAAACGATCTAATAAATAAATTTAATTTGATGTCTATGATATTACAAAAGAGATTAAAAGAGAGTTTATTTATAAAAAATCTACCCAAACACACTATGGCCGTGCTGGTATTATATTTCTGTGCCCACTACCACTACCAATAACGTCGCATACCATGCACAGAGCGTTAAGAATCTGCGATAAAAAATTAGCTGATACACTTCGTGCAAACGTTACGCTGTAATAGCGGTGACAATGACCATCTTAAATGTTGCTTTTATTTCTAATATCCTTATATTTTCATCATATTTTCATTTCCAATCATGAATTAAATTACAATGACATATGGAAAATCATTTCTGCTAAAAAGCTATCCACCCTAGAGAAATTTACAAGTGAAAACACGGGGACGATACGCGGCTGTTACGCGTATGTACTGCAGATCACTAAATCCGATACTCAAAGCTTAAATAAGCTCGTTTCCGTGTCTGCCAAGTTTTAGCATGCTCATGGTATGCGAAGATGCGGAACTTTCTATTTAAAGTTAAAAGAAATCGTTTGTTTGCAAAGTGCTATGGAGCTTTTTGACAAACACTTTTTTGATGTACCACCGACTGATTTGTGTTTTATTTAAGAATAATGTTGGTTTAAAAACAGTTTGACGCGAGATGCATAGCAAAAGTGTTTCCAGTTACTTTTAGTTTTATGTTGATATACTAATTTTAATAAATAATTGAACAAAATATATCCAATGTTACAAGGACTGTGTAGTTTTAATGGTGAAAGAACGCTTTTGGACTTTAGTCTTTACAAACAGAATCTTACGAGTCTTACGACAGTCCATTCTCAAGTGTAAAGTCCGATATGCTCTCTGTATTATTACGGACCCAGGGTTAAATTCAGAGTCTTAGCTTAGCTTAGCTAGAGCGTTCGTGTGACAAAAATGTTTTTGATTTTGTGTCTGACTTGATAGTTGTATGAAATTTAGAAGAATTGTCGCAGGACATATGTTAAAAGTATCTACTTTAAAGATATATATCTTCTAAAATGACCACGGATAATTTCTCTTACTTAGGGCCGGTTTTTTGATCCGTAGTTAACTCAACTATTGGTAAAAAATCGTTACTATTAGTTAAATATCAGCAAAATGCGTTTTTTGATCCGTGGTAAGAGCATCCAATGGTAAAATATCTAACCATTAGTCAAAAAAGTTAACTACTCAGTATCGGAGGGTTAAAAAGATGGCCGCTGGTAATTTATATACTAACAGCTGTTTGTCACAGAAATCAAACTATGATAAATACGTTTATTACTATCTAATGATGAATTTAAACATATTGAGATACTTTAATTAATGAGACGATGAAGAAGACGATAATATTATATGAGAATGTGTTAATGAGTGACCAAAAATATTTAGGCAATGTCATCCGCCATTAGAAACCTGGGATGATGTAGATTTTTGTCACTGTTACCCCCTATCGAAGGGAACAGTGCTCTGGATTGTTACTGAAATTGGGAATGATCTTAAACTGCCAATGAACAAGAGTATATATAGACAGCAGCTCATACCAACCTATTTTGCTTCGTTACTAACTACAGAACCGCAGCAGTATATAATTAAGTATATTACTAATTCATTATGTGTTTTATTGCCTATAATATTAACTTATAATTATTATAATTAAATAAAATACAAGAACAAGAGTATATATAGACAGCAGCTCATACAAACCTATTTTGCTTCATTACTAGCTACAGAACCGCAGCAGTATATAATTAAGTATATTACTAATTCATTATGTGTTTTATTGCCTATAATATTAACTTATAATTATTATATGTTAATATTATAGGCAATAGAATACATAATGAATTAGAGTTAATATTATTTATATATTACTAATAATATTAACTTATAATTATTATAAGTACATACAAGTATGTACTTATACTAAAAACTACAGCTACACATTAGTTAGGGACCTATGATATTCTTTAGGGCTTTTATTACATTTGTGAGTTAGCATCTACCTACTTTATTACAAGAATTTATAAATAAAACATTTGACTTGATTAATAAACTGTTTAATTATAACTTAAATACAAACCATTTTTATTAAAAAAACATTACAAAATTTACATGAAACCCTAAAGTAGCAATTAAATATTTTCTAATTGTTTCTTCTTGCATTTCACCTCAATTTGATGCAACTCTTTTTGCTGCTACATATATTTATTGTACCTTTCTTCCATCTGCTGCATCACTTTTTGGTGCACCTCCTCTTTATGCAGTATGAATTTTTGGTGGGCCTCTCATTGGTGCAGCAAATGTTTTTGATGCTCTTCCTTAGCATAATTGAACAAATCATCCTCTCTTATTTGTTTTTATTTCAAAAACTCAATTTTTTTTATCCGTGTGGATCATAATCCGCTTCCTTGTTTCCAAAGGGTTAAAAGATTTTTCCTTTTGTTGTAGGACACAGCTATACAAGAATAAATATAAAAATGTGCCTACACCTTCATTAAATGTATATTAAATTTAACACTTCGGTGTCTAGACCCATCTGAGTTAAAAACGTCACAGAGATTTCCAAGCTGCATCTTTTTGTAGATTGCTGCAGTGATCAGTTGTTTGCAGGTTACGACTGTGTAATCCTTGAGAAGCATCACCAGTTTGGCAGTTTCTTTTTTGGCGAAGTTAGCAGTATGGTCCCTTTAACAAAACATAAATGTATTACTTTCTATTACGAAACACAAGATAAACCGGAATAAATAACACGAAAATATGTTTGTACTTACTTATTTGACCGTTGGCTGTTTGCGGACATCGTTATTTATATATTTAAGTATCGTAAAAAGTGTAAACCGTATTAAATCACAGAAAAACAACTTTATTTATATCGTGTTATTTAGATTAATTTGACACTTCAAACTCTTCAAAGCGCAAATAACGAATGAAGATGGCAAAAATGGATTTCATTCACTCAATATGTCTAGTGTTGTCATACAAAATAAATGTTCCCCACAAAAAAGAACCACATTTTTTGGAATGTCATTGCTCATTGCACTGGCAACAAATTGACAAATTGTTAAGTTTAACTATAGTTAAAAAAGGCATTGAAAAACGCATTTACGATTTTACCAATGGTTATTCATTTAACTATAGTTAATGTAACAAATGGTAAAACCATTTTTTACTACGGATCAAAAAACTGGCCCTTACTTGAACATTTAAGTTTAAAAATATTCAACCTTAACCAAACTTTTCTAATAATTAACATACATATATGAAAAATAATATTGAACATTTCATTTGTATGCATCTGTTATCAATTATAATTTTAGATTCCTAAGGAGGTTTCTTCTATTTAAAACTCAAACAATTAGATTCACAATTCCTTTCTCAAATACTAAGGATTTGTTATGTACTACTGTAGATTTATAATCTGGATTATCTTATAAGGTTATAATACTGCAAGCATTTGCAAATTTTAGTTTTCGCTGCAATAGTCAAAAGTTACAATTTGTATCTTTTTTTCATTATATATATATATTAGGTCCTTACATATGAAATTGGCGTTTTGTATGGGAGGAACAAAAAGTCGAATATTTTTAAATATAATATATTTAATTAATCAAAGTATGAACCATTGTTTTCTATGCACTTTTGCCATCTCATAGGTAGTTCATTGATCCCTTTACTAAAAAAAACAGTCGGACGGGAATCAATAAAATCTGTGAAGGCGACTTGGACTGCCCCATCAGACTTAATTTTTTTCCCTTGCAAGAAGTTGGCCAAATTTCGAAAAAAATGGTAATCTGTTGGAGCAAGGTCCGGGGAGTACGGAGGATGTCTTAGACATTCCAATTGAAGCTCTTCTAATTTGGTAGCCGTCTGTTGTGCAGTGTGTGGTCTAGCATTGTCGTGAAGTAGCAGTGGCGTGGAGCGTTTGACCAGCCTAGGTTGTTTAGCCGCTAGCTTTTCCATCATGGTTTGCAAATGCTGACAATAGACATCAGCCGTAATAGTCTGGCCAGATTTGAGAAAACTGCAATGAACAATACCGGCACTAGTCCACCAAACGCTTATAAGTAACTTTTTTGGGGTTAATTTTCGCTTGGGGCAGGATTTGGCTGGCTGGCCAGGATCCAACCATTGCGCTGAGCGCTTCCGATTATCGTAAAGAATCCATTTTACATCACAGGTAATGACTCGGTTTAAAATACCTTCATTATTGTGCTGGTTCAGTAATGTAACGTAGCAGTCGACGCGCGTTTGCCGGTTTGCTTCAGTCAATTCGTGAGGTACCCATCTTTCAAGCTTTTTAATCTTCCCAATTTGCTTCAAGTGAATTAAAACAGTTTGATCACTAACACCGCAGCCTGCAGCTAACTCGGACGTTGTTTGCGATGGATCCGCTTCCACAATAGCCTTATATACTTGGGTCTCAGGCCGTCCACGGGGCTTGTTCTGCAGGTCGAAATTTCTTTTGCAAATTGACCGCCATACACATCATTCACCCTTCGAGTCGTTTCCGCTGCACTAGTGCCACGGTGGAACTCGTACTCGTAAATAATGCGATACTTTAAGTTTTCCATTTTGTAAAATGAGTAACGCAAACAGAAAAAAACAGAAGAAAAAAACAAATGAATGTCGGTCATCGAAGCACAAATACATGAGTAAATAGCTGTACAAATTTTAATTTGGAATTCTTAACCAAAGAGGAGATATTTGAGGTCAAAGTGGCTAA